ATATGACTAACTGTTGCTTATTTATCAATCACAACTTTAGCTTCACTCCATTCTTCTTGTCTTCTCATTAGGAATTATTAAAAACATATATGCATAGGCCATGGTCATGAACAATACTGTGGTGAAGACAGGGAATGGAACTGGGAGGAGTTAGGCAAAGAGGCAAGGGAAATAAGGGATATCTGTAATAGTGTTCAACAATAAAAATAAATTATTATGCTATGTATAGTCAAATTGAAGTTATGTATAAGATAGAAAAAGGTAATTATTGAGATATTCAATCACAGAATTACCCCACTTTCTGACAGTATCCTATCCACAAAGTTTCTGTTCCTTGGAACCTCTCCAGAATCACCTAACAGAAGATCAAATCTTATAATAAGTCCTTTCCAAAACCATCTTACTAAATGTTCCCAGTATCTCACGGTTTTTTAATTCCTGTTGTTGCAATGAGTCAGTAAACCTAACTTTGTTCAAATATGGGTGTGTTCCTGGTAGTCTTTGAGTGAAGGGAATTGATGTAGTAAGTATACATGCACTGTATCCCAACAGAGAAACCAAATTATGTTAATTTTGCTATAATAAGATCATTAATATCAGTTAAAATATATGGCTTCTTCAAAGGATATAACAACTGCAAATTGAATTAATGGTTTTATGGACCAGCATTCAAATACTATCTCTACCTCTTTCTCTTCTTAATTCACCAAACAATTACATTTGAAAGTCATGTTAGTTGAAATATAAAATAAATAATCTTATATCGATACATTGAAACTAAATAGGTAATAGATAGCCTTAGTACATGTATAAATTCACACAAAATCAATCACAAAAGAAACAAAAAAATGCTAAAATCAATAAAAGTGTGCTATGACTATATCAACTCTTTTTTTAATAAAATATATATATATATTTTTTTTCAGAGATGAAGGGAGAGAGATAGAGAGTTAGAAACATCGATGATAGAGATACATCGACCAGCTGCCTCCTGCACACCCCTCATGGGGATATGCCCGCAACCAAAGTACATGCCCCTGACTGGAATCGAACCCGGGACCCTTCAGTCCGCAGGCCAATACTCTATCCATTGAGCCAAACCAGTTTCAGCTATATCAACTCTTTAAGTCACAAATAATGCATATGATAAATTTTAATTTAAAATTTAACCTGTTAGGAAGATGCCACAGAACTCCTATATAAGAGTTAGATGTAAGCATTTTGCACAGTAGCAAAAACAAGGGATAAGAATCATCCACTTTGAGAAACCAATCTTATATTGATTTGAGCTCTCTTGTCTACAGTTAACCACATTTGATGAGTCTAATCTATACCATGTGAAATGTTACAGACTTCAGTGACAGATAGTGCTTCTCAAACTTTAATGTGCAAGACCACCTAGAGATCTTTTATATATATATGATTTTTTACAGAGAGGAAGGGAGAGGAGAGAGATAGAGAGCTAGAAACATCAATGAGAGAGAGACATCGACCAACTGCCTCCTGCACACCCCATAACAGGGATGTGCCCACAACCAATGTACATGCCCTTGACCGGAATTGAACCTGGACCTTTCAGTCCGCAGACCGACGCTCTATCCACTGAGCCAAACTGATTTCAGCCACCTAGAGATCTTAATAGTAGATCTTGACTCAGTAGATCTGGAGCAGAGCCCCAGATTCTGCCTTTCAGCTAACTTCCAGTGACGCCAATGCTGCTGGTCCAAAGACCGCACTGAGTAGCATGGATGCACAAATTAAATGTTGTAAGGGCAGGCTAGGAGTTCCTGGGGCTACTGGTCATGTCTGCAATAATTACCAGCTGTGCTGTTACAGCCCAGGACAAGCCCCAACACTTCATCAAAAGAAGGTTGGCAGTTAATAGTTAGAAGTTCTGGGGCGGCCTAAAATTGCCCTGGCAGCAGTGAGGCAGCTGAATAATAAAACTGCATAGCCACTAGTAATATTCCAAAAGGGCAAAACCAGAATATTTCTTTTCTGAAATTAAAGGCAAAAAAACTCTGCTTTTAATGGGATTTGTAATCACACCTATATTTGTCTCCTTGGAACTCTACAATCTTCACTTCCCAACCAATTTCCCCCACTCCCAAAACTTGGTTCAATTCAGACTTTATATATAACCCATGCCCTACTCATTAAAACTCCATATGATTCCCTTGAGGTTTTGATCAGTTTGCTCTTGAATAATCAAAGACATCAAAAACAAACATACAAACAAACAAAAAACTAGAGGCTTCTCAAGGGAGACCTTGGGGGATCCTGTGTCTCCTGTGCTGTAGCACAGAAGCTAAGAGATGAAAGGGGCCTAAGAGTTCATCTAGTCCAGTGAGTGTTTGGTTTGGGAGATGTGATGCTCATCAAGTATGTGGGAGTGAGGCCAGGCCTGCCTTAGTGTTGCAGATAAACCATCACAGACGCCCTTAGACTAATGGCTGTTCCATAGTCACAGTGTGATAGCTAATGAAACACAGTATGAAACTCTACTCAGGACCTGGATTCAAGTGATCTGGAATGCTAAATGTACTTTTACACCCACAGTAAGTAATTGTAGTAAAGTTTCTGCATCAGTGATTAGAGTAACTATGGCTTAGAAAGACCCAATTTGAGGCTTCTCTGGATTGGCTGACAACTTTAGCCAACTTTCAACTGTTTTCCCACTTGAGAAAATTAGTGGATATTATAATAGTAGACATGCTTACTTTATTTTTTTTTAACAAACTTTAAAAAAATATATTTTATTGATTTTTTTACAGAGAGGAAGGGTGTGAGAGAGAGAGTTAGAAACATTGATGAGAGAGAAACATGAATCAGCTGCTTCATGCACACCCTCCTACTGAGAATGTGCCTGCAACCAAGATATTTACATGCCCTTGACCGGAATTGAACCTGGGACCCTTCAGTCCACAGGCCAACTCTCTATTCTGAGCCAAACTCGTTAGGGCAGTGGTCTGCAAACTACGGCTCCAGAGCCACATGTGTCTCTTTATCCCCTTGAGTGTGGCTCTTCCACAAAATTCCATGACCTGGGCAAGTCTATTTGGAAGAAGTGGCTTTAGAAGAAATTTAAAAAATTTGGCTCTCAAAAGAAATGTCAATTGTTGTAGTATTGATATTTGGCTCTGTTGACTAATGAGTTTGCCAACCACTGGGTTAGGGCATGCTTACTTTTTTTGAACATCCTTATATTTTCTTGCTGAGATCTGAGACCACTGCAGATATCCGAGAAAAGATAATTTGACCAAGATCTATGCATCTGAAGGCTCATTCTCATCCTTTCTCAAACCATTCCAGCTAAGAGATGAAAGGGGCCTAAGAGTTCATCTAGTCCAGTGAGTGTTTGGTTTGGGAGATCAAGTATGTGGGAGTGAGGCCAGGCCTGCTGGACTCTTTACTGGAGATTTCCACAAAATGTTGGCTATATAACTTTATTACTTGAACTTCTAACTATATTATATACTATATGTGCTCCCAAAACCACAACTAGAAAATATACAAAAATTAAAATACAAGCAAGTAAAATAAAAATAATGGAGGTAATCACATTAAGTGGCTTCTGAGGTTTTATAATTATCAAATGCTGAATATCCATCCTCTTTAGTTGACTATTAGATATAAAAAAAAGACACACAGGAGAAAACTTTTTAATTGAGAAAAATCTATTTTCATAAAAGGAGATCTATCTCCTTTAATCAGTTTTAGTGGTGGAACACAAGAATTCTCAGAAGAAAAAAAGTCAATTGCCGCAATTTATAAAAGAGCAAACTAAGACCTAGAAATGTAGAATTAAAATATCTAAAGTATACATTTAACAGGAAAGCTAGAATTGAAAAAAAAAGACCATTATTACTTCCAAGACCTATGGTCTTCCCTCTATATCACAGTATGCTTACACATTTTAGGGCTCAGTAATAATATCTTGTACATAGCAGGCACTCAAATATTCATTGTTGGCAAATATAAGGTATTGCATGAGGGGCAATGAGAGTCACCTGCCCTACCCCAACTCAGCTAGACTTGCTGATTTCCACCTGCAAGCTCAGTTGCTCCTTGCTGAGCAAATCAAAACTGACCCGAGGATACGCAGGGACTGGGAAGCCTTTATAAAGTTGGACTCTGGATACAATGTCCCATCACTGGCCCCTGGGCCCCAAGTCATACTGCTCACTCCCAGGCACCTAGTACCGCACCTAGTACCACATTTGGCATGTAAAAGGTGCTCAATAAATAGCAATCATTGTCACTAAAATGGGTTCATTGCTGGAAAAGAAGCAGATATCTACCTGCAAGGGAAACATTACATTCACACTGTTAAATCTGACCTAGGATGATGCTTCTTATTTTTTGGTTCTGCCTCATGGCACTAAAGTGATCTCTAGGAATTCAATGAGCCAATACATAGTTTATCTTCTAGCCAAAGATCTGAATAGATGTCCAGATGTTAAAATACAGATATTTAAAACAAATGCAAAAACATTTTGCTTTTGTACTGAGAAAAAAAATTAGATTTATTTAAGTATAAGAATGAATTATAGCTTTACCATTTATTACAAAGTATACTGATAATCAATTAAGAACCATATAAAGATAAAAATGAGAAACTCAATACAGGCAGTCCTCGGGTTACCTCAGAGATCTGTTCCTATGGTGCAACGTAATGCAATTTTCGCCGTAAGTCGGAACACACCTACAGAGCATCTACGTCACTCACATGGAGCACATACACAGCAGTAATGAAGTGAAACAGTAAAAAAAAACTTAAAAGAAAGATAACAATTCCTGACTTTTACTTATGGTAAATAAATAATAAAAAACATAAAGCACATATGTACATACATTGAAATGACGAAACTTTTTTTTTTTTTAAAATAAATACCTGGGAGATGGAGATGTAACCACCAAAGGACATATGTCAAGTCTGATGTAACCCAAGGACTGCCTGTAAGGTTGTTTCAGTCTATTTTTTAAAAGAATGCAATTACCAGTTTGAGGTGGTAAAACTTTGGAATCTTCAGATGTTTTAGTTATAGGTGCAATCCATGGCTTTTCACTCGAAGCTACAGTAGTAAAAAGAAAGGGAATTTGTTGAAATTTTTTTGAGGAGGAGAAAGAAACAGAAACAGGTCGCTGGTATGGTTGACTATGAGAATCCTGCAATGAAAAGCACACACTCGTTCTATCAAAAGCCATTGTCTAGCAAGAAGAAATTACCATGTTCCCATCCTGAGAGCATGTAATTGGTTAGTGACTAGAGAGAGACCAAAGGTTGGTGTCATACTCTCAATGTTTTTGAGGATAGAAAACTAACTTCATGAATTATGTGGAATTGATAGAGTGAGGATTAATACAAAATTTTAAAAAAATTTTAAAAAAATCCAAATATATGTTTTTTGTTTGTTTGTTTGTTTGTGTTGCGTTACCAAATCAACACTTGTCTGGCTAAGTTAATGAAATTCATTAGTTCACTGAGGTTTTTGCAGAGATAGGACCCAGGGAATGTGGCCTCCAGAATTAAGCACTCATCACCCACATCCTAACACCAGGTTTCAGGTGCTGTTATTACCCAAGGCGCCCCCAGGTTTCTCAAAAGGGAAGGGTGTTTTTGCCTGAGGAAATTCTGGAAGTCTTTTCGGAGCTGTAAAGAAACACATAAGAAATGTTATGACTTGAGGTGCAACTAACAGAGAAAAGATTTTACTAAAGCAATAAACAAACACAGAAAGGCAAATTATTCACATTAAGAGGGACTGTTAGTAGTGTTTTTTAATTCTGTGTTTCAACATTGAATGATATAATAAAGCTCCCTTTTCTGGTTTTTATAACCAGACACTGTACTTGAGCTCTTCTTTTAATTTTGATTAAACTTGTTTTCTAATTTATTCAGCTATGTGTATGTGTGCTCATGTAGACTCACATCAAGTACCAAACATGTCTGAACTAGCAAATGTCCATCTACTAGCATTTAAAAATAGAATTGTAGTGATCACATAGCTCTATAATTAAGCTCACTTTCACCAATAACTTTTTTTATACTGCGTTCATAAAGAAATTAGAAGAATTCTAAATAGCCGAAGGATTTGATAGAGAGAGAGATTCTTTAGGACCCTAAATTATAAAGATTTCATAACATTAAAACCATGGTGTTGAGGAGCTTATTGTTTTATAAGCTAAGTGTTTCTTCTTTCCTGTGAGGAGATAACTTTAAATAAATTAGCCTAAGGACGGCTTCAAGCATGCATAAAATTTGCAAGGTAATAATAAGCTGTAGTATTTAAAATTTTTTTTTTACCTAGAGTGCTCAGAGGTAACTCAAACCTAGGTATTAGAATAGTTGGCGATCTTTCCGGGGTCTTTTCGCTGAGAACTAAAATAAAGAAGAATTCAGTTAGCAAATGTGTGACCTGGGATTCGACACTGTGGCTTAACCGTGATCCTGTGATGCGTGCTCACACAGAGTGTGCACCGGCAGCTGATGCCTTTCAAGAACATGGCTGGCTTTTTCTGGAAAAGATGGATGTGGCTGTTCAAGGTTGAAGGTGCATTTTCAAAGGGCTTCAGTGAGGAACGATGGTAAACATCACAAGCACAGAACAAAACACATGACGCTGCTTTTCTTTGAAGAGAACCAAACAAGAGCCTCCTGGGCCACGAAGCAGCTAACAGGTGTGACATGAAATTCTTATTAGAAAGCACGACATTTTGGGGGTTCTCCTCATTTTAAGCACACATAAGACTTGAAAAAGCCATTGCAAACAGAAAGCTCGGACACAGTCAAGACTTCCAGGTTTCCCCCACCTCTCCAAGCCTCCTGGGATAAAAGGCTGTAATCTGTGCTTCTGTACATCCTGGGAGTCTGGGGGAAAGGTGTGCAGCTAGCTGCTAGCATCCAGTGCTCCCTCAAACATCATTCACCAGGATCAAGGCAAGTGATTAACGCTAATGAAATTGGTCCAAGAAATAGGACGATTAACTACTGCCAGTAAGGAGGTGAGAGATGAGGGGAAAGGTAAGGTACTGAGTTACTTTTCTTTTCTAGAGTGCTAGGAGGGTTTTGTTTGTTTTAGAAAAAAAAACAAAAAACAAACAAAAAAACAAAAAAACCTTCTTAGAATTACCCAGTGTTGTTTCTGAAATATTTAATGCACTAGACACAGTGGATTTAGTGGTTCCTAGAACTGAGTCAGGAGTCACTGGAAAGTAAAGAAGACAACTTTATAAGTTAATATAAAATTACAAAGCAACCAAAGACCCTAAGACATTGGGGCCTCTTGGAATAAATAACTGGCGCACAGCTCATTACTTTTCAAGTTACGTATGTTAAGGATTCCATGGCTTGCTTGTGCCACAGCCTGACCTGACATGGCTCCCAATGTTTTCTTTCCAGATTGGGTCCACTTTCCATGTGTTACAAAAAGCACTCTGAACTGACCTCTATGAAAGCACTTAGGAGATTAATCATAACTCTTTATTCATCTGCCTTTTTATTTCTCTTCACCTTCAAGTCTTAGCACAATGTCTGGGATATAGTAAACAAGCACATAATAAATGTTTATTAAATGAATCAATAAATAGGCAAATAAAACAATGATCCTGGGCAAAGAAGGTTTAGTGAGAACCATTACATTCTATGATTTCTCTCTTTCAAACTGCAGTCAACATGGGAAGGTTGGAACTGGGTTGAAATGATGATAAAGATGCAAATGCTAGGTCAAAAGCAAAGAAGACCTCAGCTAAATAGTGTTCAAGAAATAAGAACCAGGATCACTAAGATCTGGAGTGAATTGGGAGCTAGACAATTCTAGAATTTTTGCATGGCTAAGGACTTGTGGTAACACAATAACACTGAATAATAAGTTATGGTGTTTAAGTGTTTCTGAAGTGGAACATTGTGAGAAAGATTTGGCAGAGAACTAAGAAATCTATAGACTCTTCCATGGGCAGAATCTTCGGGGCAGAAAAGAAGTTGCAGTCATCCACTAAATCATGCCTATGTTTTTATTGGTATTGGACAATTATATTGAAATCAGAAACTACCTAGGGATTTCATTCAGATTATTTCAGCTTCCTGAATAATGTTGACCTCTGCCCCACCTGCCATGAAGGTGAGGGATGGAAGGTCCATCTCTCTCCTTTAGACAGAGCCACATACTTCTTGCTTGTCAGAAATATCCCTATTTGAATTGATTTCTTGAAATCACATTATTTTATTTTCCCCACCAATATTTAACTCCTCTGGATCAGTTATGAATCTAAGAGTTTAGTACAAGCTAAAAACTACTAATATTTCAATTTATAGCAATTTTATGGGTTAAAATTTTTACTCTAAATTGGAGTTACTTTGCTAAATGTGGATTTGGGGAAATTCTTGCCAGATGTTTGCTTCACTGTGTCCTAGATGAGGTGGTATTGCTCTGGCAAAACACTGTAGTTCAGAGAATAATGTGTCCCCAGTGGGCTTGACTTGGGCAGTTCATTCATAGGAGAAATGCTGAATGTTTGTTAGTAACGGCCGATAAATTGTGGGGAAAATGCATTCCACATTTCCTCTTTAAAGAATTTTTACTGAACTATTACATATTATCTCTATTGGGATTTTTAATCTTCCAAAGACATTGCTGCTCAATGATATAGCTCTCAAGCTATGGATTTGTGAAGGTTAATCATGGCATTTTGCTCAAAAGACAACTTGTGAAAGTGGAGAAATGAAAAATGGCCTCATGTCTTCACATAAAAGGAAAACACCAAAACCAGGCATTACGTTTTAGTATAAGATTATTTCACAATGTTGAGGTAATAGCTTTCACTTAGAGTGAAAAATACAGTTTCCATATTACATATTAGTTATATGATTCAGTAGTTCATTTTGCAGCTATTGGTTTTCCAGACATTAGATTAAAGACCTAGAATCACATCACCTATTATTCTGTGCTATCGATCAAAATGAATTTCCTACTGGCTCTTTACTGGAAAAAAGCACGGTCTTACCAAGCATTTACTATTAGAAAAATATTATTTATTGCAAGTGAACAATATGGGGATCTCATTACCTGTTATGGGCTGTGCTGGGATTTTTTCTACCTTTGGTGTTTTAGATTCAGCTGGTAATGCCAAGGTTTCATTCTTAGCTAGAGAGAGAGAGAGGGGAAGAAAGAAAGAAAGAGAGAGAGAGAGAGAGAGAGAGAGAGAGAGAGAGAGAGAGAGAGAACAAACAGTTTACCTCACTTCCCTATAACACAGTGTCCAAATACAATTCTTTCAAAAACAGAATCAAGTAACAAACTATTTCCAGAAATCTATTCTGCTTTTATCTCTTCCCACCAGGTAGTCAACACATTTATTGTGCATTTCTACCAGGGATTAGCATGAATGGATGACAGTGTTCAGAATCCCTTCTTTGGACCCTCAATAATTAAGATTTAAGTTGGCATTGGAATGAAGGAATAAATCACAACCCAACACTTGGATAACTCTCAAGTCATTCTTATTCATAGAGTTTCTGGAAGGCATATGTTGCATTGCAAATACTCACTGGAATTTTATATTGAAGTACTCCTAATTTTTAAAAATATCAATGAATAGAAAATTTCCATTATTATACATGGTAAAACATGCAATAGGTTCAGATATTTTTAAAAAACATAAGCAACACACTTGGGAAACTAAATTATTTGAAAATACTTGTGGCAAAAAAAATACCGACAGTAATTTATTTGAGCCATGTCTTAACAAACACCGATTGTTTTGGTCACTGAGGGGATTTAGTGTAAAGATTAAAATATATATTTTTCCCTCTTCAGACAATTATTCAGGAAACTTCCTTCTAAAATGTAGATATTCTTTTTCAAAGTACATTTCTATACCAGAGTTTCCCAATGATTAAGATATTTCTCATTTTAAAAATGCACTAAGGATTAATTTGAGTCAGCTCTTTCACACCAAAATCAATAACCTGCTTATAATATTTTGAAACAGTCTAGTGCAGTGATTGGCAAATTATGGCTCTCGAGCCACATGCAGAGCTTTGGTCCTTTGAGTGTGGCTCTTCCACAAAATACCGCAGCCTGTGCCAGTCTGTTTTGAAGAAGTGGTGTTAGAAGAAGTTTAAGTTTAAAAAATTTGGCTCTCAAAAGAAATTTCAATCATTGTACTGTTGATATTTGTCTCTGCTGACTAATGAGTTTGCCAACCACTGGTCTAGTGGCATGAAAAAATTAATCTTTGAGATACCCTGATTGTGTCACTTTGAACTGATTATAGCTAGATGGGGATTTTGTAGAGTCCAAAGGCTGTACAGGAACATCTTGGGTTTCTCAGCCTTGGCACTATTGACATTTTGGGCTGGATAATGTTTTACTGTGAGGCCTTTCCTATGTTGCAGGATGTTGAGTCGCACCTCTGGCTTTTACCACTGAATTCCACTAGCATGTGCATAATGTGACAACCAAAAATGTCTCCAGACGTTGCCTAATTTCCCCTGGGAGACAAAACTGCTCTTTGTTGGGAACTATTGATCTAACCTGTTCTCTCAAAGTTCTTTGAGGATGCAAACTTTGTAACCTCCTTTTGTAGTTCACATCCCCGCTGTAAAGACCATTTTCTTCTTTTCAGCTGACATGAAATATTTATTGGTGATGGACAAAGGCAGTTATAAAATCATCCCTTTCACAACGTTAATAGAAGCCAATCAATTTTTAATCTGTGTTATAGAAGCATTCAGTATATTTCTACATAGAGCTAATTATTTTCAGGAGTGACTTAAAATGCTAGAAATAGGTGTCATGAGTGCTATATACTTGCCCTATCATATCTAATAGCCATGTGTGTGCCTTGGATTCATGAGCACATGAAGTTGCACAGCAGAAATTGTTTGATTCCAGCCGAACCTGTTTGGCTCAGTGGATAGAGCGTCAGTCTGCGGACTGAAAGGTGCCAGGTTCGATTCTGGTCAAGGACATGTACATTGGTTGCAGGCACATCCCTGGTGGGGGATGTGCAGGAGGCAGCAGGTCGATGTTTCTCTCTCATCGATGTTTCTGGCTTTTTATCTCTCCCCCTTCCTCTCTGTAAAAAAATCAATAAAATCTATTAAAAAATAGAAATATTTGATTCCATTGTTCAAATTAATTTAGCAAGGCATAAAGAGAGAGGACTCTATTTCTAGAATAACTAAAAATGCCAATCCAGTATAATTTTACAAAAAAATTCTATTTTTAAAACTTCTAAATTTGATCAACCCTTTTTCCTGCCCTTTTTTGTAGTCACCGTTTTTTGTTTAGAAGCACTGTGATTGTTCGCACAGGAAAAACCATTCGGGTTACAAATTTTTATGAGCATGTCCTGGTTCTATTATTTTCAGGATGTGCCATAGGAAGGTGTTGGCTTTTATTTATCAAATGTAAGATTATAAGGTTTCTCTTTAAGGGTCTTTTCTCTTTCAGTATCCTCTGATCCTTTCGGGTACGTTTGCTCATCCTCTCCTCCCTATGTAACATCCTGTGTTCTTGATGGTTGCCAGGGTGACTAGGACTATTTACTGACTTGCTTACTTACTAATGTATTTTAACATCCATAGACTTTCCTGAATGCTCTAAATTGTTTTGCTTTAGCTTCTTATATTCTAAACATGCCCTTAGCTGGCAATCACCTTAGGCTGAAAAGAAGCAAAAAGGGTAAACTATGTTCCTGAGAGAGAACTGTATTCTTTACACATCACCAATTCCTTACAAAGGCATATTGTATTTCTAAATATTGCCTTGCAGAATAGAGAAATTGGTGGATGGAGAGATATTTAAATGGGGGATTTTATGTTTCCTATCAAACCCAAACATTCCTCCATATCATTTATGTACAAGTGCACTCTTGGCGCCAGCGGAGCAAAGTCCCATCAGAATGACCTGAAACCCAGGAAATTTCTTTTCCCTCTCTGATTCTTCTGTACCTTTTTTTCCCCAACACTGTTGTTTCCGTTAATTTTTGGCAAGCTAAGTCTTGACTTTGGCAAGCCCTATGTATATCCCTGGGTGATGTGGGTGTAATACTAATTTTCTTGTTTATATCTCTCATTATTCACACCATGTGCTCTTAGAACAAAAGCTAATAATTTCCCAATGTCCCAAGATGGACACTGTTGGAATGAAGATATTATTGTTCGGATTTACCCCATTAAAAAACTGGACTTTTCTGAATTGTGGTGATAAATAACCCTAGGAAAGTTTATTTCTTCCTTAGTAGTATGAAAAATTGCTTATGTCTGCATTAAAATATTACAGTAAATTTAAAATGTAATTTTTAGAATACAGTCTGTTAAGATGTTACATTGGATGGATTTACTGTACATTTTCAAATATACTATCAATCTCTTCAATGCATAAAAATGGCCAGTGTTAAATTTGACAGGTGTTTCCCCGGAAACACAAGTTAAAGAGATATTTAACTATTCACATACCACTTCTTCCCTATTAAAATTACAATCCTGAAGGCTTAGTGATTTATATCAGAAAAACAAAATAAAAACAAAACAAAATCGCTGAATATCTAAAGTATACAAAACACCTGAATTGATATTAAGGTAGCTTGTGGAACTTTGAAAAAAAAAAAAAAAAAAAAAAAAAGGAAATATCACTCAAAACTAGGGGATGAAACATCTAATTCTAAACTGGCAGCAGTGATCTGAGAAGAAAACTGCCCATTTTCAGTCTCCTTCACATCCCAGGTTTTGTAGTTTTGAGAGACAGATAGGGACCAGATCAATAAGAGATTGGCTGGCTCCTTTTTTTTCTCTTTCCAAACAAGTTTTCAGGTGAGGAGTAAGATAGCGTGTAGGCTCCAGACAGAGACCAGGTGAGTGTAAAAATCCCGAGCTCCGACTCCAGACACAGTTCCCTGAGGGCACTGAGTTTGGAGCTTCCTGGCTTTGCGTGCAGTGTACAGATGACGTGGAGTTGAGTCACAGGGTTGTACAGTTAAAAGTGAGATGATCAAGCCTGATGTACGAATTAAGGATATGAAGCCTAGGGTCACATGTCTATGCGCTTGGAAGCAACCCATTCTGACAGCTATGAATATTTTACAGTAAAAATGTAAGGGTTGAACAAAAATCACAAATATTTACTGGCAAATATTTTAACATCTTAAGGAAATGGTGATGCATAAGCTTTGAAAATTGTTCTAAAACTGTAAGTCTAATAGACCACCTATTAAGTGTTCTTTACCCACTTAAGTTTTGTTCCTCCTTCTTTCAGGAAGTTCTCAAAATTAACAGTTAAGGAGAACTTAGGAGTTCCTAATTTTTAAAACAGATACAGTCTGATTGCCTACCATCAGAAAAATAAATAGGTTAGGTCTCCAATAAGGAAAAAAGGGAAAAATAAGTCTGAGGTCCCAGGATGTGCTGTGTAGCTCACCATGATAGGACCCAGTAATGTGCTATCTGGCACAGAGTAATGCTTAACAAGTATTTGTTGACTGAGTGCTACCAAACAGGGGCTTGGGCCTCTGTTTTTGCATCCATAAAATGTGAAGAGTTGATTATGTAAGTGCTGAAGTTCTTAGTTAGTACCTACTTTAGGGAAAATATTTTGCATTTTTAAGTCTTATTCAATTTCCATCACATTATACCATCTCCTTTCATATTTATCAATAGCCCAAGACATTCTCCAGACCAGCAGTATCACCGACTGGTAAGAAATGCAGATTCCTAGGCCCAAGCTCAGACCTACTGAATCAGTAAGTCTGGAAGGGTTAGGTAAGGGGGAATGAGCAGCAGTCTGTTCACAAGCTCTTCAGGGTGTGTGATGCTTGATTAAGTCTGAATATCAAACTAATTTGATATTTAAATGCAGCAACTAAGCTCAGTGATCATCACAATTGTTCCCTGGGCTCACTTTAATTGCTGGATCCTATGGTAATTTTATTTTTTTGAGGAGTGGCCATACTGTTCCCATAGTAGCAATCCCACTTTACATTCCTATCAACAGTACAGTCTGTCCCTTACTTTTACTTTGAGATCCCAAATAGCTCATTTTGTAGATTCCTTGGATATTCTAAGACTATCAGTTCTAATACTTGGTCACTGAAAGTTCTATCATAGAACTTTGCTGCTTACCTAATTGTGTCTTGATTGCATCTGAAATCTCAAACATTATGGATGTAGGAAGTTTTACGGTGGTTTCATTAAGACCAGGAATAACAAGGTGAACTGGAAGAAAACAGAAGTACAGATGAGAGAAAGAAAATGCATTATGCCATAAAATAAAGTTCAGAGTGTCAGATATTAGTAAATATTAAGTTTTGCACTTATTTTGCTTAGTTATGATTAACCACAACTTTAAAATGTTGGAAAAAATATGACAGTATTTTTTAAACAGAATCTTTTTCTTATTTGAAACTGAACTACTAAAATCCTCTGACTTTTAATCCATGGACTTAAAAATTGTAAAGTGGATGCTTAAGATGTTATGGTAAACAAAGGATACCACTATTAATAATAAACAACCAAAGGACTTGTATGCATGCATATAAGCATAACCAATGGACGCAGACGACAGGGAGTGAGAGTGAGGGCAGGATTGAGGGAAGTAGGGGGTAATGGGAGAATAAGCACACATTTGTAATACCTTAATCAATAAAGGGGGGAAATAAAAAAATAAAAAGAGAGAAGTTCAATATAACAAAGACTCCTTCATAACTGCAAAAACGCTGTGGGGTAGGTAGGATGGGTTTCATCATTCCCACTAGGCATGAGCTAGAGTTAATTCTCTAACACATTGGGATAGAGGTAGCATCTCTTGGCTCCTAGCCTAGAATAAACAAAGCCAGGATCCTAAATATTGAAAGGAAATGAATCAACATCAGTTTAACAGATCTACTCACAGTGCAAAATTCCATAAAGGCATATATATATATATATATATATATATATATATATATATATATATATATATATATATATATATTGCCTGACTTTCTCTTGGTCTAGAGTTCAAGACTACTCACCCAGTATCGTTCCTCCAATGGGAGTCCTATCTGGGGGTTTAATTGAAGCTCTGTGGGTAACATTCTGAATCACTGTTGAAATACAAAAAGATAATAGTGTGTGTTGGGGGAAATAGTCAGAAAGCAGTAAGAAGCTAATAATGTGAAGTCATCTGCACTGAAGAAGCACTGAACTAACTTTTCAATTAATAAAAAGGAATTCATTGGGTTGACCACAGAGCCAATGAAAGGACTAGAAGGTGCATCTTACCTTAACACCAATGTCTATAAGTACTGAAAGGCTATTATTACTTTATCATAAAGTGTCCTAGTCTAAGAAGCTGAAAATTTCCTAACTAATGCACAAAATGAGGCAATGGCCTAATAAATTAAAAAATTAGAAAGTACTAATATATATTCTCAAAGCAAAGAATCATTGGATAATTCCAATTCTAATTGACCCTACTTTCAGAGTATACTTGTGACATTATTTTCTTAAAATGAAGAATAATTTTAAGTCCCTGATCTCTTCTCCCAAGAAACTTTCTGGACATAATATAGTAGACCCAGAAAAAATTATGCTAAGTGAAATAAGCTAGTCAGAGAAAGATTATCACATGATCTCACTCATATGTAGAATCTAATGAACCAAAAAAACTGATGAATAAATATAGGCCCAGAGACAGAGAAGCATGAACAGACTGTTGAATCTCAGAGGGAAGGTAAGGAAGGATGGGTCAGAAGAGATCAACCAATGAACTTGTATACATATATGCATATCCCATGGACCCAGACAATGGGGTGGTGAGGGCCTGGGGTGGGGGCCGAGACAGAAGTGGACTAGAAAAGGTTAATGAGGGGAAAAGAAGAACCTATGTAATACTTTCAACAATAAAGATTTTTAAAATGTGTTTAAAATAATAATTTTAAAAATTGAGTCAAAACAAAAACAACTGGATAATGAAATAAAATAAGACATTATAATTCTTGAAACCTGGAAACCTTTCCCTAAAGTTTTCATTTAATTCATTTATATCCTCTTAATGGTTTCCTTCATGAATGCTAGCTTAACACTAAGCTAAGCCACACATATTTAAAGGGATTTTTAGAATTGAATACTTATGATTGCTTTGTCTCTAGTTGTCCAAACAACATGACTTGCCAGGACTAGGACTCTTGGTATAAGAGCCAAAATTACCTATTAACTTCTAATTTACTAGGCCATACTGATTACTTCAAACATTTTCTGAAAAAAAAAACAATAACCAGAGAAGTTGAAAAAATATGTGTGATGTTGAATTACTCAATTAAAAAAAGTATATTAAAATTGTTATAAATACATATCCAGAGCAGACTCATAAAATTACCTTGCTTGATGATTGTTATTGGGATCAGTTTCCTTGGAACATATGCTGGCTAAAAAAAAAGGAAGAGTCAGTTTTGATTTAGTGCTAATAAAAAAAATAATAGGAACTGGAAGTAGCCCTTTCTTGTCTTCAATGAAGTCTCCCAAGACACTGGTTTAACAGTAGTTGGAAAGAGCTGTAGTACACCTATATCTGCCTCTACTTTATTTTACAACTCTCCCCATAAATGTCCAAGGATTTGACAGAAGCAATTTCTTCAGAACTCCCATTAGTTTACTTAGAAATTGCAATGGAAAGAAATGAAATCTTCTGGGTTGAATGCTAGCTAATTTTCACTTTATTTCAGGTGTAACCCATCAAACTCTGTCTTTACCTTCTCTCTCAAATAGATGTTAAGCTACATATTTTCTTTCTAAACCAAACAATATCAATTGTTTGAGTACACCCAATTGCTGCCACTGCTACTGCTACTACTGCTACTACCACACACACACACACACACACACACACACACACACACACACCATGAGCTCCTGACACCACACATTTCCTTGCCCAAGAAGATTGAGCTTGGAATCTAATCTAGACATGTCTACTTCCAAAGCCTATACTCTTAACCATTCTGTATAGATTTTTGCACAAGGAACCTCAGAATTAGAAGGGTGTTTCTCAGGAGACTATGCACTTTTATCTCTCCCAAATTGCCTCTGATGTCCCACTGGAAGTTTTGAAATCATAGAACTACTTGAACTAGGGATGGGTATAGTGTGAACTTCAAAGGGAAATCATCACTAGACACATTACTGTGAAACCAAAGAAGAGACATGGGAACAAAATAAGAGAAAGGCAACAAATGATATAGAGAAGAATTAGGTTGAGTTACAGAGGTAAGCATGACATCAATTTCTTCTTTTAAAAATTGATTTCAGAAAGGAGAGAAATGTCGATGTGAAACATCAATTGGTTGCCTCTTGCATGCACCCTGACGAGGGATCAAACCCTCAATCTGGTATGTGCCCTGACCAGGAATCAAACCCATCACTTTTGGTGCATGGAATGAAGCTCCCACCAACTGAGACACATCAGCCAGGGAGACTTCAATTTCTTGATGCTTAATTTAAAGTCCATGAATAGTACATATATTCTACCTACTAGACCTGTTGATAAATCAGGATGTGCTGAATGAAATACTTACAACATAATTGTGAGCAAAAGAGACTAACATGTTACCATTTTATTTTTAAAATATATATATTTTATTGATTTTTTTACAGAGAGGAAGGGAGAGAGATAGTTAGAAATATCGATGAGAGTCATCAATTAGCTGCCTCCTGCACGCTCCCTACTGGGGATGCGCCCGCAACCAATGTACATGCCTTTGATCGGAATTGAACCCTGGACCCTTCAGTCTGCAGGCCCATGCTCCACTGAGCCAAACTGGTTTTAGCAAACATGTTACCATTTTAATAAATGACCTTTCCATAATAAAGAAGTGCCATTATACCAAGCTTACTGTTGGCCATTTTACTTCTTGTATTAAGGTCCTTATGTTTAAAAATAAATAAATGAACAAAATTGACTATTATCAGATTATTTTAAAAATAATCTACGTATTGACTTAGAGCTCTAGACTGAATGCTGTGCCCCTCCTAATTCATATGTTAAAATTTACTCCCCAGTGTGATGGCATTAGAAGGTGGGGCATTAGAGAAGTGGTTAGGTCATAAGGGTGGAGCCCTCATAAATGGAATTAGTGCCCTTATAAAAAAGACCCCAGAGAGCTCCCTCCACCCTTCCACCACGTGAAGACAGCAAGAAGATGGCCTGTTGTGAACCAGGAAGTGAGCTCCACCAAACCCCAAACCTGCCGGCGCCTTGATCTTGGGTTTCCCAAACTCCAGAAGTGTGAGAAACGAATGTTTCCTATTTCAGCCACCCAATCTACAGCATTTTTGTTCGAGTAGCCCTAAAGGATTAAGACGCCCAGCAACCTAGCCTAAGGAACTAATTGAAGATACAAATAATATTTTATGTGTAAGGGTGTTTATTCTCCGATGTGAAACAATCTCATTATCCAAAAACAGAGGTTTTATTGAATAAAGTATGGTTCAAGTTTTTGACATCTATTTAATAAAGTAGAAACATATGCATGCTGTAAATACAAAGGATACAAATTTGTAACCACAACATAACCTGATTTTATAACAAATATGTATAGACAAAAGGCCAGTAGGAAATAGATCATAGTTTGTTTGTTTTTTAAACAGTAGTTAAAAAAAAACAAAACAAAACAAACTATTGTTGTTGGGTTTTTTTTGTTTGTTTGTTTTTTTGCTGTTAAGAGAGAAATTTTATTACTTAAAAAACTTATAAGACAATAAAGTAAGGAGGTTGTGTTGTAGATAGTAAAGAGGAATAGATTCAACATCAAGAATTCTGACTCCCCAACAGTAGTTATTTTTATAAGCTGATAGTAATTTTATTTCATGTACCTTTCTCTATTTTCCAAATTTCTTACATGAATGAAATACACTTATGATTAGAAAAAGTTAATTTAATCAACAATCTGTTCAATTTCGACATATGCTCCTGCACTGCATAGCTCATATACCATTGGTAAAGAGAAAATATTGTAAATATAATTTGTATATGATTTTTCCCAGGCAAGGGGAGGAGGAAAGTAGTAATAGAAGCATAACTTTCAAGAGGGAGAAAAAAAAATCTCAGCCTTGATGTTGCACTGGCAGTAGGCTATCTTTCACCTTTTTCATAAGAAAATAAAATATGAGCACTTGTACACAGGAGCCTTCTGCAGAGAGGGACAATCAGCCCCATAGCACTGCCTCGTGTGTCCACCTTACTTCCACCTGCCCTGCTCCTGTGAAAGGGCTGACAGTCCATGGCCTCTCCTTTCTCAGAATTCCAAATGCCTGCTGCAGCGACCTCCAGTCCCATGGGAGCACTGGTCGGAGGAGCCACGCCATCTTTGCGGGCATGAATAATGGTTTTTGTTAGAGCTGTGGATGCAGCCCCAAAGAATTTTGAATGCTCTGTTTTACTGAATGTAATGCCCGTTTTGCTGAGCGTGAAGTTTTTCAGGGAGACATCCCATTATAGTCCCATTATAGCAGAAAGGCTGGCAGGTCACTGGGTTGAGCCTTTTTGTTGCATTATTCCAATTATCATTTCTTTTGCTGAGATTATTTTTTAAAACAACTTTTTTACAAGGACAAATAGAAAATATTTCACTCTACAGATGGATGGAACAAAGTTTCTCTTGGAGTTCTTACTTGAGTTAGACCCATATTCTATTAAGAGGATAGAAAGACTGTATGTACACTATGTGCTGCCAAAAAAAAAAAAAAAAAAAAAAAAAAAAAAAAAAAAAAAACCCCACAAGGAAATTATTTAGCTGCAGAATACAATTATTTTTATTCTTTTTAGACCTATAATTAGTCTCTCACCTCTTCTGAAACCCAAAGATGCACCAGGATTGGACTATTGAGCAGGTAGCTGCTTTTCTGTAAGCAGGTTTTTAAAGGGCATCAGGAGAGTCCCTGTGTGCCTATGTTGAAGGCTCTAAAATTCCCAAGAAGAAATCCATACTGTGAATCCTTTCCCTGTGTTTTCTTATAAAAGGACAGGGAAATGTTTGTTACCTGGACTCACTGGAAAATGAAGCATTATGATAATTTCCAAGTTAATGGTGTTTAACCAATTGCAATCCAATTTTAATTGGATTGTTTCAGGAATAGTGATTTTGCTTGCTTGCTTGCTTAGAAGGTACCAGTAACCTGTCTCTGCCATTTCAGACTTGCTGTTATGAACAGCTATCAATCTGTATAAAAATCTCAGTGCAGCAGGCGGGGGCTGTGGGAGAGGGGAGCGAGGCGGTGAGAGTCCCACGGGCTGTGGCACAGTTTAGCTGGTGTGGCCTCAGCAGAACATGATGTCTATGGACACCATCATGGCACCAGTTTTCTTTCTGAAGTCATTTCCTTGCTGATTCTCTTCTCTGCAGCTTTTCTGACCCCCATTCCAACTGCAAACCTCCATCGCTACTTCCTTCCTTTGCTCTCACCTTGTCATTCAGAAAGTATTTTTCAAACATTTGCTACATACCAGGAAGTAAGCATATTTTCTGTAAGAGGTGGATTATTGTGTTTTGTTTTTTACTGAGTTTCCAGATATTCTGTCTCTTGAGAGCCCAGGTTGTAATATATCTTGAGCAGGGTGATGGTTAAGGGAATTCACTTTTATCATCTTTCTGGGAACACTGTGGCTTGAGCATCCAGTTGGTGGGATTCAAGAGAGAGATTGATGCTGAAGAGGTAATAGGCAATGACCTGATGACCAATTCAGCCCTTTCATCCTAATTAGGGGAAGCCTATGCTTGCCCAGAAATAATCAAAGCAGCAGCTGCCACACAGGACAAGGGACTTTCAATCTACCCTGCATTATACTAACTTCCCCCTCCTGCTATTTTGAAAATTAGCTTTAATACAACTAGTGATGGTACCAGGATGCTATTCTCTACAGGTTATTCTTGAGAGGCTTGTCAATTTGGTATTATTGTGGTGTCAGAATATTCATTGCAGATTTATTTAACTTGATGTTCAGGTTCTGAGATAAGGAGGAGCTGTCCATTTGGGCAATGGCTAATGGTTGCTTAAAATTAAATGTCAATGGCTCACAAGCCAAACCACATCAGAAGAACTTGGGCATGTTACATTCTGGTTTTAATTCATTTTGGGGATATTCTAATGGAAGTTACAAAACCTACTGATTCAACCTAACCTCTGGCGAAATGTGAATCTTACATTCTTCTTATGAAAGTCTTCATATTTCTGATAAGCTAGGGAGGAATCAGACATATACCTTTGGTGATATCATTGGCCTAAATATAATTTTTTCAAGTTTCTCCTTAGGACAACAATTATTAAGAATGGAAGGACACATGATATATTTACTGTTCACAATCTCAAGGTCTGGGAGGGGACCATAAGGTATTTCTTACTATTCACTTTATTTGTCTATAACTTTACATTTTAAAATTAGCACCATGTTTTGTGGTGTTTTTGTTTGTTTGTTTTGTTTTGTTTACCAATAAAAGATGTGGCTTTTTAAAAGATGGGTGGATCTCTCATGGGAAAAATTTAAGGGTAAAAATAGATGTCATATATTAGGGCAACACTGACTCTAAGGAGATTTGGATTAATTAAGCTTCTATTTTAAAGTCTCTGTTAATAAATGCTACATAAAAAAATGATTGTTCAGTGAACTAGTTAGAAATCTAAGATTTCTAAATGGTAGACATAATATATTAAAGTTAGGTCTTTTTGCCATTGTTTAAAATTTTTTAAATATAATAAAACCTAATAGTAAACATTTAATCACAAACATTTAACTTTCATAAAAACTGTTCTATATTCTCAACATGGACAAAACAGCACCATTATAATAAAACATGTTGTTTTCATTTAAATAAATGAATCTCAAGTAATATAATTTATATTGAAAGAATAATGTTTTGTTTATGCATATACTTTTTCACTGATTTTTCTAGAGGTATATGCAGGGGTAACATTGAAAGTATTTACAACTGGTAGAACAAAGTTACTGACCAAACAGGAGAGATTCCTGCTCTTGTCCCTGGCACAAGTGTACTGAGCATGCCAGCAGAACACGTGCTTACAGACATGGATTACAATATATAATAACCATATGCTGAAGATGGGGGCTGAGTTCAACATTAAAATTTTTTGTACTTAACTCTTTTATTGTAAGTGCTTATCACTGCATTAAACTATTTCCCCACGCCACACACAATAATACCAGGTTCATTCACTACTTTGCAGAAGCGATAGAACACTGTAATACGTATGCATTGGAGCTGAAACTATCTATTAACAGTCAATTTTTTTTAACCTAAATAGTATTTATCTTTTAAATCTGGTAGCCTAAAGTTCAGATTATTGCTCTCATTTCAAATACCTCTTTTTAGAAGATGTTAAGAAGTTTTTGCGGGATATAAGTTTTAGGTGTAAGCATGCATATATGAATAAAAACAATTTTCAATGTATCTTTTGCTTAAAACTCTAAAAGTAAAACATCTGGAATCAGTTCACTATCTCTTGAAATATTGCCTCCTAAGATCAGTCTCAGGGGAGATGGGTTAGTATTTGGAATGACATGGTCTTTATTTGGATTAAATATTCCTCTAAACTTTAGTAAAGTATCAAATCCACTTTTAGAATCAATTCTAAGTGGCCATAATAGATGGCTATGGCTCTCACAAGTGGTTTCTCTCCAACTTTCCTGTGTTCCTGAGCTACCCAAGAGCATAGACAGCAGTTTGCAAAACATTTTTTTTCTGCCCTCTAGACCGTAACAAAGAAGAACACATCACAGAGAAGCCTTAAAATATCTTTTCAATTAATTTAGGTTTTCATGTGGAAATAACCAAGAATTTCAAACCACATTTCATCAAGCTGCCTGGGGGGTAACTCTGCCTCACAGCTTGAAGTACTAAGGCATCTGGCTCTCTGTCACAGATGCAGGCAGTTTCTTCCTAGCTCTTCTAGCCATGGCTATTGTGATGTGAAAGAAATTGAGCTCCTTGGGAGTTAAAAAACCTCAATCATCTTTCCCAATCTTGCTGAGTAATTCAACCTAAATGGAATACTCTGCCAAAAGAAATACAAATGATTGGGATATGATGAGATGATATCATTGAGTCACATGTAAGACAAAGCATGTTAGCCAAGAGGCTGGGAGATAAGAAATGCTTCCTAGGAAACCATCACAACAAGACTGAGATAGTTCTAGAAAAGAATTCCTGGGATTGGATTTAAAAGAGAAAGGCAATGGGACTTTATGGATGCTTGGTATTAGGCCAATTGATCAATTATTTGGTAAAAATATATAACTTAATCAAGATAGAACCTTACTATACAAAACAGAGAAAAATCAAACACATAGTTTAGAATTTAATTATTATAATACAAAATCAAACCACTTATAAATCTAAAAAGGGGGAGAAAATATTTCTCGATCTCTGGATAGGAAAAGGCTTTCTAAAATATAAGCAATTGAAGATGTGACAATAGGAAAGATAATAATTTGATTAAGCAAATTTCAAGTCTTGACTATTTCAAAAATCCTCATAAAGTTGATAACACAATTGAGAATAATTTTTCTAGATGATATTACAATATATCTTTAACCTATATCTTTAAACTACTCAACAAATATCATGAGACACCCAATGAACAAGAGCCAAGATAATCGTCATTAAGTGAAAAATGCAAATGGCTAATTAACACATGAAGAAAGTGCTGCTTTATCAGCAGAGACATAGAAATTAAAAAAAACACACACACACACACAAAGAAAAACATTTTATGCTGAAACCAGTTTGGCTTAGTGGATAGAGCATTGGCCTGAGGACTGAAGGGTCCCGGTTCGATTCTGGTCAAGGGCATGTACCTTGGTTGTGGGCACATCCCCAGTGGAGGGTTGTGCAGGAGGCAGCTGATTGATGTTTCTAACTCTCTCTCTCTCTCGCCCTTCCTCTCTATAAAAATCAGTAAAATAAAAATAAAATATTTTACACTATTACATTAGCTAGAAATTTAGTGATGGAGATACAGAATGCTAATAATCAGGATGCTATAGTATGAGAACTTTTATACATTGCTGACAAGATGAAAAATTGGTTTATCCTTTCTGGAAAGGAATTTGACTAGACATATTAAGAAGTTAAAAAAACAAAACAAAATACCTGTTAAATACCTAGGCTGTTAACTCCCATTCTAAGAATCTCTTGTAAGGAAATAATCAGAAATGTGAATAAAGACTTATGATCACAAATGTTCACTGCGACATCACTTACAATTAAAATACCATTAGAAATAACTTAAATGCCTACAAAGTAGAAACTGATTGGGTAGGTGAAAGCGTATTTAGATCATGTATTATACAGCAATTAAAATTACTTATAAGAAGATAATTTAATGACATGAATATGCTATGCATATGGCAGCTAAGTAAAAAGAGTGAGCTTTAAAATTATATGGCATAATTTTAATATTATAGTAAAAATATTCTTAGAAATGAAAAAAATATTCTAAGTTTTAACAGTAGACCACAAATAGTTCTATTACTAGTGATTTGGCAGTGTAATAGAAAATTTTGTTAATATTTTTTTTTGAATTTTATATATTCTAAATCTTTAAATATGAATTAGATAATTAAGAAAAAATTAAAACTTAAAGAGGGAAGGAAGAAAAGAAAGAGGAAGACAGAAAGAACAAAAAAGAGAGAAAGAAAACAAGAAGAGAGGAAGGGATTAGGGAGAATGGAAGAGAGGGCGGAGGGAGGGAGGGAAGGAGGAAAAAGATAGGAAAGAAAAATAAAACAAGATTTATGGCTTGGGAATGTACCTGCAATCTTCTTTTTAAATATTATTATTTGAAATCATCAAAATACTTTTCTGGGCAATCATAATAACCTGATAATCATGATTAGATAATTCCCCAATATGCACATTTTCCCGCCAATTCAAACCACAGAAATAGTCATCTCAGCAAGATTATTTCTCAGTTCTATTTTATCCAAACCCATTTGTCACTGAAAAGAATTCAGTATTTTTTTTTCTTCCAATAGGATATGTACTACCTTTTCCCCTCATGGGACTATTTAATCAATGGAGTATTCTGTGGACAATTTAATTAGACACAAAGATATATCTATCCATATACATCACATGCACACATGCAACCATAAATAGCCTTTGCATGTTCACCTGAATATGGGATATTTCCCTGGCTGAATACTTCAATACCTAGTAACCAAAGCTAGGACCAAATCCCCCTCTTCTCACCAAAGTGCTTCCGCTGCCTGCTCAGTGACCACATCCTTCACTTTGTAACTGGGCATGTGATTTGAAGTGCAAACATCTGTGTGATGGTTATACCAATGGCTTACATTTGCAACAGGTAATATGTAACTGATAGATGGGTCCTGAGGACACATTTTGAAAGGGGAAGGGAAAATGGAGAACAAGGGACTGAGTTTCTGAAGTGAGAGAGAAAAAAGGTGTCTAGATGGTGGGAAATGGCTGGTTCACAAACATTCCATGCACTAGAGGCTGGGCACATTAAAACAACAACAAAGCAATTGCTTTATCATTTTGAAAAGAGTTAATTCTTATATATGTGTAGGAAGTGATAGAAAATAGATGAAGATTTGAACAGTAGCAATGTAAGTAGAGCATGTACCAATTTGCTCTTAAAATATGTTATAGTAAAAAATGATCCACAAGACAGAAGATAATAAACACAATCTCAAAATACCTAGAATACTGAAGTACTGGAGTAACTATATTGAATATCAGACTTTTAGATATTTAAATAATTTAGTGTGATCTTGTCTTATACATTCAACTCTGTTTTCTGGGGGTGAAAATGAATTCCTAAAATGTTAAGTACTTTTACCTTACACACCATACATAGCAAATCAATTGATTCAGTCTCTGTACCCAATAATAGGACTATTTCTTTATTTCAATAAAAATACAATGCAAATGCAATTAAAAAAAATTCTTGAAAATAACTTGGTACATACCACTGTGTTTGATTGGTCATAGGTACTTTGAATTTTCCCATTTACTTTGTTTATACCTGAAAAAAACAAGGAAAAAAAATAACATTATTTTCATTTTTATGGTTTTTGTGTCAATTCTTACTAATCACTATGAAAACAACTATAACTTCTGCTCTCTCCAACTCGAGCATATTATTTTATTTACTATAATTTAAAACACTGATTCCAATGAAGTTTTTGAATGAAGGGATAACTGGAAGAAAGTCCAGGGCCCCTAAAGTCTTCTTACATTCACTTCTGGTAGCTATCCATCTGAATATGTGCACAAATTGTTAGTTTGTTAGCTAAATTGGTGTTCATAGATCAGGGATTGATTTAAAATACTATAACGATCAATGAACTGTCACCAGTGGCAGCATCAAATATTAGTATCATTTAAAAAAACACACTCATAAAAGATAGACTCTGAAAAATCAATATTCAACAGGTTATGTTTATATTTGTGTTTTCTCAAATACTAGAAGATGGGAATTAACTGGTCTCATATCATAAAGTTAATACATAATTAGAAATTTGAACATTAGGGGGGAAATAAAAATGTTACAGAAAGCGAAGATAATTCAGGTACTTACTTCCAATAATAGTCTTGTGATTGAAAATCTTACTCCAAATTCCACCTTCTACATTGTCTTTCACTCCGAATTCATAAACCGTGTTGGGCTTTAGGTTTTCTACAATTGTTTCAGTGGCTGGACAGAGCTGAAAAATCCATTTCTTCTCCTTATCCTTTTCTCTATAGCGAATTGTATAAACTCTGTTGGGAACCCAAAATGTGACGCTTTGAAATCACAGGGAGATTCAGAATGTTTTGTTTCCTAACAAAACATCACAGCCTCTTACCTGCTCTAAAGTCTATTGATATATTTAATATTAGCCTCTGCTTCAGTCAGCTTCCTACTTTTGTCACATTGGTTTACTTGATAATTATGTAATATAGGCAAGTTCTAAATTCTAAAAGAGATAGTATACAAAACTACTTATTTAATGAAGGTTCCTTGATTTTAAAGCAAAATATAGGCCTGTGATAATAAACAGTGCTGCACAACCTAGCATACCACAGATACTTCATAAATATTTCCGGGATGAGCAGAATGGCTACGTAGGTGTTCATAGGGTCATTCTAAAATTAGAATATAATTGCTCTGGATGGCCAATGATTCAATCACCAAAATATATCGGTTTATTTATTCTTTTTATTGAATTTATTGGAGGTACCTTGCTTAAACAATTAAGTCTATCATATTTTTCAGTGGTCACTACCGAAGGTTTTACTTACCAAAACTCACAAATCCTATAAAAGTGCGAACTGAAGGAAAATACAATAAATGTCTACATTGTACATATGCAGAAGACTTAAGACTTTTATTATTTATTTGACTTATCCATATAATAAACTCTAAAATGAGCAGAGCAAGAAATACTGTGGAAGAAAAAGAGAGGCTGAGAAGTGTCTGACATCTGATAACCAGTGAGAGAGCCACGCAAAGGTTACCGGTAATACCTTTTGTATTGCATTGGACTATCTTCCTACTGTAATGCTTGACAAAAGGAGATGGTAAAATGATGCAAAATAGAAGAGTAAAAGAAATCACAATTCCTTTTAGCATTATTTAAGGCTTTTTATCTTTTGCTTTATTGCGTATTTACCATCACAGACTTCCCATTATTGTTGGAGGACACCCAGGATTAAGTGTCGATTGCATCTTTTCTGTGGATGATTAAATTTAGGCATGAATGCATGGAGGGCAACAAGTCTATTAAACAGGTAGCAACTCGTGAATGTCATCAGAGAAGACTTCTGGAAATTTGAATTTTCTAGCAATTTGGATTTTAAGAGAACATCTCATACCCTAAGTATAGAACTGTTGAAGGCAGTGTTGCAGAAGGCAGGTAGTGGCTTGGATATTTGTCAGGTGCAAATTAGTAGTGTGACCTCTGGAGAGTCTCTTTGTTCACTAATGCATAGATTTTCCTCCATTGAAAAAGAAGGGAATTTGACTAGATGATCTTTGAGATTATGTCTGTTACTAACAATTTATTCTAGCTCCACATCAGACATTCTAGTCTAATAAAATACAAAGGCAGAACATAGGGTAAAATCTCAGAGGTAGGAACTCCAAAAACAAAATTTGTGATATAGATGACAGTGAATTATACTATGAGAAGAAATGGAAGAATGTCAAAATAAAGTTAGTCTTTCACAAGCTATCTGGCTTGCTATGCATGGCAGGCCATCTATGGCACTTTCCATACCTTTTCAGCAATGTCTTCTTTTAAAAAAAATTATCTTTATTGTTGAAAGTATTACAGATGTCCCTCTTTTCATTTTTTCCCAGTGACCCACTCTAACTCGCACCCACCTCTCCCAAACCCTCACCACACTATTGTCTGTGCCCATAAACTATGCATGTATGCATATAAATTCCCAGGTTAATACCCCCTCCCCCACAGCAATGTTTTTATTTCTATGTGACTAACTACTACTATATTTCCTAAAACATCTATTCCACAATTTTTTTTGCTCTCTTAACATCAAAGTACACTTCCTGTAACCCCTTTCTCAATGCCACACTGAGACTGTGACTAGTGATACAAATTCTGTCCTCACTCCCTTCCTCTGAAAGTGTCTCTCTTCCCCTTCACTCTCTCCCTGCTTCTCTCTGATTCCAGGGTTCTCCCTTCCAAAAATTAAGCAACTTGGTAATTTTATTCCATGTCCTAATTCAATCTGCTCCCCAACCATTTTCTTGATCTTCCAAGGACCATTTTTTAAGTCTAAATGATGTTTAAATATTTTCTATTCTATCAAAACAAAGTAAAACTGATGCTTACTTCTTACTCCTGCTACTATCTTTTAACATCAATTCTTTTTTTAAAAATATATATTTTATTAATTTTTTACATAGAGGAATGAAGAGGGATAGAGAGTTAAAAACATCGATGAGAGAGAATCATCGATTAGCTGCCTCTTGCACACCCCCTACTGGGGATGTGCCCGCAACCAGGGTACATGCCCTTGACCGGAATCAAACCTGGGACCTTTCAGTCTGCAGGCCTACGCTCTATTCATTGAGCCAAACTGGTTTCGGCTACCACCAATTCTTGAAAGCAATATACTTTCACTTTCTTACCATTCATAATGCCTACACCTCTTTGTTTTTTTGTTTTGTTTGGCTTTAGAATGTTTATTTTTTTATTGAATTTATTGGAGTGACATTGGTTAATAAAATTATATAGCTTTCAGATGTAAAATTCATAATACATCTTCTGTATATTGTATCATGTTCACCACCCCAGTAATCTTCTGCAATGTGGTGTCTGACTGGTTAGTATAGTAAAACCTTAGGACCAAATCCAATGACTTACTCCTCCATGAATTTCATAACTACTTTAAAATCTACCCATCTTCATTTTCAAACTTTTCAGGTTTCTTCTCCCCTCATGTCCAATCAGTGCTCAAGGCCAGTTATTTTTCCTGCAGGATTCCTCTTGCACCTGGCTTGTCTCTATTCCTAAGGAGTTTAAGGACCTAGTGTTGGTCCTTGTTATCTTTGAACTTTTGCAATAATTTTCAAACTGGTCAACCATCTCTTTTCCCAAATCTCTTTTCCATATTACCTACTGCTGGCTGGTTTAAGCTCAACAAAATAAGTTTCTAGCAATTTTAGTGCTATCTAAAATGAAATAGCTTGTCTGAAGTGATAATTACAACAGTATGTTGTGAATAATTAAAACATAAGGGAATAATATAAAAAAAAAAAAACACAGTAAGGCTAGTAGAACACAATAAGCACCATTTATTGAGTGTTCAATGCATGCCAGACACTATGGGAACCTAGCCACCTTTTATGGTGTCATTTCATTAAATCTGAAAGCCTTATGAGATATTACTATTATTACTCCCATTTTAAAGATGAGAAAACCAAAACTTGAAGCATTTCAGTAACCTGCCAAAGGCCATACAGTTCATAATAGAGCAGGATTTAACTTAGGTTAATCTGACTAGAATTTGTACAGCCAGTAGTTACCATCCCTGGAGGTATTCATTGCAAACTCTGGATAGGAGATATTGCAGAGGGGGTTCAAGGGCTGAATGGACTGGCTAGATGATTTTTAAGTCTTATTCTTGACATTCCATTTGCTTATTAGTTCATACATTTGTTGAGACCTAGTCTGTAAAACATGATGCTAGGTTCTTTGTGAGATGGAAGATGAGTGGGACACTATGCTTAACTTCAAAAATGAGCTCGCAGGGCAATGGTTAACCTAATGAGAATATTCTATAGGTAACTAAAAATATCTAAGAGTTTTGGAAATGAGCCAAGGTCTGAGGTTCAGCATTGGAAATCATTTATATGGTTGCCATTCCTGCTGTTCTCTGTGGAACAGTCACACCATAAATTCTTGGGAGTTTTTAGAAATGTCAAATCAGGCCAATAGACTCAGAATCTGCACTTCAATAAGGTCTCCTAAATGATTTACACACACATCAATTGAGCACTGTTCTACATCTATTTAGCAATTAATTGATCAGTGATAACCTCAGAGAGAAGTTTCAGTGAATGGTAGAGAAGGATGGAAGTCACTGTATGGGTGGTATAGAAATTGGGAATATGTGAGCTGAAGTTTAGGAATTAAGAGAGGAGATTAAAACGTAGAATGCAGCTGTAAAAAAAGAAGGATCTCTTATCCTTTGAGACAGCATGGAGGGACCTGGAGAGTATTATGCTAAGTGAAATAAGCCAGTCAGAGGAAGACAGGTATCACATAATCTTACATAATTATATGTGAAAGCTAATGACAAAAATAAAATGAGGAACAAAATAGAACCAGAGACATTGAAGCATGCAATAGACTTACATGTTTCTGAGGGGGAGTGGGAAGAGATTGACCGAAGAATTTACATGCATTATGTATAACCCATGGACATAGACAATAGTGCAATGAAGTCCTGGGGATGGGGCTGGAGTTGGGTGGAGGAGGTCAATGAGGGAGGAGGGACAAGGGGACATTTGTAATACTTTCGACAATAAATACAAATTAAAAAACAAACAAACCATAGTTTGGAAGATATAACAGGATCAACAGATTTTGTTTTCAGGTAGGGAACTCTAGAGCATGTTTATAAGCCAAAGGCAGAGCACCAATGACAGTGAAGGGGCAAATGTAAAAGAGAAAGGCTTACAGAATGTGGAAGGGACTCAATGGTTATTGTACGAAGCAAAACATATACCCCTTGGAAAAAAGAGAAAAAAATGGTAAAGATAAATTTGGGCTGGAAAAAGAGTAAGCTGATGGTGGATACTCTAAATTTTCTCAGTTTTGCAAGAGCCAGGATGGGTTAGGGTAGAAAAAAAAGCCAGGATGCTATTTCCATGACCAGGGGTAAGGTGAGGAGTGCCTGGATTGGAATCATTGGTGTGGAAATGGAGAAGTAAAAGACAAAGGTACTTACATGCATACTTCTCAAAGGCAAAAACAATATAACTCGGGGCTCATTAGTTATAAGAGATGAAAAAAATGAGTAAAGATTCAAATTAAGGCGAGTGGAAAAATTGTGATACTTTAGAAAGTAATAAGACAAATGAGGTAATACATCATGTTAACTTTCAAATAATGGTACAACATAAAAGTAAAAATGCTGACATTTCACTGCTTATTATTCAGCATCCATTTACTGAAGGTCTACTATGTACCAGATGCTAGCTTCAGGAACTTGTGAGATAATGGTGATAAATGTACATATGATCTTTCTCCTCACAGGACTTAAAATATACATGGCAAGACAAATGGATACCAAGGCATTATGTTCATTCAGGTGAAAATCCACAAATATTGAAAATACCCACTTCTTAAATACTTTGGGGGGAGGGGTAGAGTCAACAGCCTGCTCTGAACCAGCTAACAAGGAGGCCCTCATTCTGCATTAAGAGTAAATAAATATAATATGGAAGTGTTAGAAAATGTGAAAATGATATCTAAATGAATCATAAAACGTCAATAAGTTGGCAAAGAAGCAAGAACTAAAGCAATCTTAAACGATTTAAATTGGAAACACAGGAAAGAAAAAATAAGTTCTTAATGGCAAAATAAATTTTGGTTAAAAACATGTTTTACTCTTCATCTGGGCCAATTTGGAAAGCTTTCTTTTGACCTTAGATTTATTGAGGATAAGTGTAATATTTTTCCATTCAAAGTCCATTAAGAATAAAAACCATGAATTAAGCACATCTATTCTCCAATATGAATTAAGAAAAAGGTCTATAAACAGGGAAACCCATATGATCCCTATGCCAATAGGAATAGAAACACGTACCACAAAAGAGTAAATCAACATGTAATTAATATTCCCAAGTTTAAAACAAAACAAAACAAAAACAGTGGTTTTCTCACTGAAAACTTACTACACAGAGCTTTGACATAGGAAGTCCAAAAGCAAAGTAAAACGCAAAACTTTTCCAAAAATTTATTTGTATTTGTAGGATAAATGAGGCTATCCAACAAAACAATGGAAACGTTTTTTGTGTTTTGTTTTGTTTTGTTTCGTTGTGTGCGGGTGTGTGTGTGTGTGAATATGTGTGTGTGTGTGTTTGTTTTTTAAAATAAATCTTTTATTGTTCATATTATTACAAATGTTCCTCATTTTTCCCCCCTCCATTGTGTGTGTGTTTAAATCAGAGACTCTATACAGGGGGCCAAATATTAGAGTCCAGTGGATTAAAATAACATCAGTTGGTATTTCTGTAGCAAGCCAAGGGCATTCAGTTTCAATGGTTTTGTAAGAAGATACTCCTGAAGGAAAACTTCAGCTATATTAATCTTCCAATTTTTAAGAAGCAATCGTTCGCCATAGCTATTATTGCTTATTCTAACCTACTAGATTAGTTTAAATTCTAAAAACATCTGCATGATCATCTGAGAGTGAATTTCTCCAAATCTGCTTACAATTACACTAATTTAGAGTTGTTCTGGTGGATTTATTTGGCTGCTTATACTGAGTATAGCATTTCGAGAGAGCTTTTAAGTAGGGACTACTATTTTTTTCTCAAATACCACAAAGACTAGAATGTCAGCTCTTTATTAACTTTACTGGGGAAAAGGAGGCATTGTTAAATGAAATTCACAAATACTCCAAGTGCTTCCTTTTAGTCATTACTATTTAATTCTTCCCTTTTAGTCATGTCTTAACTATTTCCTATTTCCGTCCATAGCATCTTGACATGCTATTATTTAATTTTAATTTTTTATTTCTTTTTTATTTTCTTTATTGATTACATATGTGCCCTTATTCCCCCATCGCTCCCCTAAACCCCCTCTCATGCCCATTTTTAAAGAAACTTTATTTGAAATGGAATTTTTTATTTTAAATATTATGATTTGACAGGCATGAGTCCATCTACTTGATGAAAAGGACAGAGCCAAGGTGTTAGGGGGTGAGGGTGAGGTGCATGCGTGGTCTGTGTAGCTTGGGCCTGTGAGCTACCTGCCTTGATTAAAATCCTAGTTCCACCAGGATATTGGTTCCTCTACCTTCTCTAAATTCGTTCCCTCCACGTGCTGTCAGTCCATGACAACAGCTACCGATTAGAATCTGTCATTAGATAAATTCTTTCATGAGAGGGTCAGTAAGACCAGGTGAGATTAGAGCAAAGGCTTGAAGACAGGGGAGGAAATCACATCTATACTGTGCTATATGAATTTGCAGGTTACTGAACCTCAGTGATTTATCAAGCAAGTTGAATAACTGCATTTTGCTACAAGTGTACCAAATTTCTTTTCTTCCTCCTTTTTTCCTTCCTTCTCTCCTTTCTTCCTCCTTCTTTCCCTCCCCACTTTTCAACTTTTTTAAAAATAAGAGAATAAAAAGTTATTTTTAAAAAAGAAAGCAATTTATAAATGTTTATTTTCTCAGCATTGTCACCCTGGACCAATTCACTAGAAACTGGAATTATCACAAGAAAGCATGTTCTTTTAAGAATCCATTTCCAAACAAAATAAGTGTGGGTTTAGTAGTGGGTGAAATAAGAATATTTCAGATTTTTTGTAACATCTCAAAATTATTTTTTTTAAATTGGGTTTGGCAATATCTTCTACATGCCTTTCCCCAAAAATGTCTCTTTCAGAACTATAGGTTGAACATGTGAAGGGAAATTTAATTTTTTTCATAGTCTAGATTTCCTAATCAAAGTCATATGAAAGGCACTTTTGAGGACTTATAAACATCTTAAAGGTCTTTTTTTGTAGTTAAATTTAGACAAATAAAAATAAGCAGTACACAAATATATATTTGGCCAAAAGGTACATAAAAAAACACCTTAGTACATGAGAAATGCATATCAAAATGGCAATGAGAGAGGACTACACTAGAAAAATACTAACAACACAAAACATGGTGAGAATGGAGAGCAACTGGAACCTTTCCTATGTTGCTTATGGGAGTGTAAATGGATAAGTTAGTCAAAAACAAACAAACCATAAAATAAATAAATATTCGATATACATCTTTCCTGGGAGCCAGCAACCTTTCCAATTTTATTTTTATGTTTTGTCAGTAGTGGAACAATCCACTCTTTTTGCTTGCAAAGGGTGAACAGAATGCTACTATATTTCTCTAGGACATTTACCTTTCCAACTTTTAACAGTCTTTCCTAACTGCCTTCAGCCTCATCCTCTGAGCTGTCATTACGCTTCTCACTGATACTCCCCATTTGCCATGTGGCTTATTCTCCCTGTAAGTTTATTCTTTGTTGAGAAAACATACTGTCCAGTCTATGTGGCTCAGTGGTTGAGCATCAACCTATGACCCAGGAGGTCACTGTTCAATGCCTGGTCAGGGCACATGCCCAGGTTGAGGAGCATGCAGGAGGCAGCCAATCAACTATTCTCTTTCATCATTGATGTTTCTATCTCTTTCACCTTATTCCTTCCTCTCTGAAATCAATCAAAAAAGAAAAAAGAAAACATACTTGCATGTTTCTATTCAGGTAGATGGTAACTTCCTTATGGGTAAACCTTTGCATTCCCCTTACATCCAGAATGGGCTGGACAGCTAAGAGGTTACCTGTAAATGCTGATGCTCCTGATATTTATACACTCTTCTAAGAGCATGCACAAATACTATTCAAAACAGGCACTAATTTTCAGATGAAAAATTAAGTCTTCCGTTATGATGAGTTACCTGTCATTGGGACAGTGACTCGGCAATGTCCAGTCATGGTGTGGGTTAATGAGGAAGCCCCAGGACAGGAAGACTGAGCTTGGTGTCAGAGTGCCAACCACCAGCTGGAGAGGCTTGCGAGAGCGTGATTTGCCTACGGAGGTAACATATAGGTTAATTCTGTAACAGTGTATTTTCATGACTGGGATAAAATGCATGAAGATGACTTGGTAAGATGAAGGAAAGTGTGAAAGTATCAAGTTCTTTTTATATAATGCAGAAATATTACTAATTCTTTGACATTTAATTTAAGCATGAATCAAATGAAATATTCCTTTTTGATATTTATGTGTGTGCATATGTATATATATATGTATATATTCAAATATGTGTAATATATACATATAAACTATACCAAATTATATCTAGTTTTTATTTTCTTGTTTGTCAGGGATGAATATGGAGGTATTGGCTGATACCAGTAAAATAAAAACACACATTTCATATACATATACATACTATATTCACATATACATAAATGTATGTATGTATACATACATATTTATTCCATTTCTTTTACACACAAAATAAATACATGCTATTTTCCCCCTGGGACTGTGAATTAGTGTGAAATAACATCGGAGAAAAGTAAGCTCAGCATCTAGGTGTAGGAATATTCTTTCTTTAAAACCTATTTTGGAGTGTAAAATCCCCATCATACTATTAAAATAAGGATATTTTTTTACAGTGAGGATCCAAATGGAAAATGCAGATCCACTTTTAACAATGTTGGGAGAGTGGGAGTAACAGGAAGCACAGCTGTTCCGATGGGACTAAGTACATTTGGGCAATGCTGATAAACCACTGTAGATTCTTTTCAAGTATAAAGAGGCCAGACATTTCACATTTTCAAAATATGTGAAACTGAAAGAATGGAAACAGTGAAAAAGAGAAGGGAAGGTCCTCAACCACAGAAACCAACACTGGCTCACAAAAAAAAAATCAGAGTGAATAAAATAAAAATCCAATAGCAGACCTCATAAAACTGCATAGAGCTAACATAAAACATACATATTTGTATTCTCATTGGATTCCCCTTTCACTTCATGAGACTATGGGTGTTGTATTTACAATAGGACCAACTTGTGTGTTATCTTAGTCTAATGCAAGTGGGAACCAGTGGGTAGGAAGGTACCCATTGTATGAGCTTAGTGGAGCTTATCTGAACCAAAAGCCCTTGAAAATTGTGTCACACTGTTGCTTCTACTAGATTTAGTTTCTGAAAATTGTTATTTCAGTGAAAAAAATCTTCTGAGCCCAGAAAATACATAACCTAATGATGACAAATTGTCTCATTGTAACATTGCTAAATTTTTACAAGATATTTAAAATAATTTTCAATAATAGTTATTGTTTACTTGGGTGCAAACATGCATTTATACTTCTCTATAGATTCTTCCAATCCACCCATCATAGTACCTTGTATGATTATGATACAAAGGGTCCAAGTCTGGGTGCCAAGATGGGCAGATTAGAATCTAAAATGAGGGTAGGGAGCACTGGTAGTTTTTAAAAGCCCTGAGGTGATTCTGGCATGCCTTTTTCCACCCCTGAGTTGATTTTGACTAATGTAATATTAATGTAATCTTATTTTACAGGTAAATATAACTTTCAACCTACAAAACTTTCAAGGGTAGCCAAGGTCACACCAAAGGCAATTGTAATATAGTTTTCGTTTTACTGCATCATTTGTTTATCTGACACCTTATGAATATGATGCCACTTACAGACCAAAGATTCATTTTTCTTTCACAAGGGGACCTATGGCTTACATGACCCATCAAATAATTATTTTACTAAGTTTGATTTTAACATAAAATGATTAAATAATTACAATTTTAGATGCAAATATAAAATGAATGGAAATGAATCCATTAGTCATGTTATTCTTCTCAAATGCAGATTACAAAAACAAAAATGATATCTGCTGCCGAAAGGAAAGGTGGGGCGTTATATCCTGAGCAAAATGAAGCCGTTTCCTGCTCTGGTCATCACAAAGTGAAAAATGCCTTCTGAGGCCAGTGTCATAGCAGCTCCAACATGAAATGAAGTTATGAGGTGCTACTGAGGTGCAATCACCACCTTCACTTTCCTTATATATTTTTGTATATTTGTATTATGATCATATTTGCATTAAGAAACAGTTCAATGAATATGAAGCCAGAATCCCATGGAACCAGAATCAATGCTTCTTGACTTTATTGTTAAATATTTTTAAACAGAGTCTTGAAATATTGTGAGATTATTTATCTTGAAGAGTATGGAAAGCTGCCTGGACAACTATTGTTAACAAGTTGAAAGCAGTGATTGAAATTTTCCTTGGGCTTTGGAAAATATAAAAGGTCAGGAAAAGGAATGTGTATTTTTCAAAATGCTTGACTATTTATTGCTTCTCTTAAAAGAAGTGGAAACACCAAAAGGAGGGGTGGGAAGAGGAGAGGGGAGAGGATTGTGGCAACTGATTCCTGTGAACCAGGTTTGGCTGGAAGATGAACACACAGCTGTGTAGGACCCATTGCTTGGTATATTTAAAGATCTGTATGTTCTCCCCACCCATTTTATACCTTAAAAAAATGTAACAAAAATTAAACAACAAAAAAGATCCTTTTTTGTGTGTGTGTGGCAACCAGTGTACTATAAAGGATAAGTCTGACTAGGGAATAATTATTTTGAGGACAGTTCAAATTGGAAAACAAGGTCAACCCTAACAGAGTTAGGAAGGTGTAGTATCAGGTGGTAAAATCATATTCACAGCTATAATTGGTCCCTTGTTAAAGCAATGGCAACTCATTTGATCTGAGAAGACACTTAAGTAGTAAAACTGGGGCAATTTCAAGAAGGATTTTAATCTTTTCATCATGTGGAAATAATCCTACTCATTTATTCCTATGGCATCTATGTTCCTGTTTCAAGACATCCTATCCCTGGGAAGATGGGTGTTGCACTGTTGTTTCATAAAAGGAGGCTCTTCTATATTTGACTAAATAGAAGAGGTTTAGAAGGGAGAGATCAGGAGTAAATAAAACCTAAGTTCCAGTCTATTTAATCCAACACATATAGATTAATTATGCCTTTGAAATGTAAACAGTCTCCTTCAGCAAAGGTTAGACATCAACATTTGCCTTCAAAATCTGAAAGGCACAATAGCAAGCATGAGGTCACACATTTCAAAACAAAAACACGAACAGGAGCAACTCTCAGTGAGCACTTGCTATGTGCCAGGCCTTGGCCTAGTTGTGGCATAATTCTCACGATGACCCTAATTATGCAGCAGAAAGGAGGCACTGAGAATTTACATAGTTGCCTAAAGCCCTGCAGTGCACAGGTGGTGGTACCGGGATAGGATCCTGAGAAGTCTCCACTGGACTCTGCTACTAATCTATCGACCCAGAGCCTGCTCTGCATGTTTCAACTTCTAATCTGCATTCTTAGGCCTCCCCAAGGCTCTGGGTCTCCATGGGTAGAAAAGAGACAAAAAGTCATGGTTTAGAGTTAATAAAAAACAAAATGAATGAAAAAATACCTGAGCATGACTTCTTTTGACTTGGTGGAGGAGCAGGCCGCACGACAATCAGATATTTAGGCTCTGCATCTGGAAATAATAATAATAACTTGATCAATAAAATTTGTTGAGAATGAGCAGCATTTGCCACAGCACACTCATGTCCTGACTCAGTGCTCCCAACTTTAGTCATCGTAACCACAGTGGATGAGAGGACCCAGGAATTCAGAAAGTTAATACTTCTTGTATAGTTCAATTTAGTTCAGTTTTTAAAATGAAAATTAAATCCAGATTTTTAAGACCAAATGGACAGAGGTAGGGGATAGGTCTTAAAAGAATTTTACTAGACATGGATTTCATAACACATCTTCATCAGTCCTTTCCCCTGTAAAGAGATTTTTTTGAAAATCAGATCAAATCGATTCTGTGACCCTTTTCCTCTCAGAGGGTCAGCCTGATGCAAAAATCAGGGACGGAAAATCCTACTTGCATAGATATATAGTCATGTCACCTGTTGTATGATCTGAAATTGCTCACTTTTGTGAAGATATTATTTTATTGTTTTTAATCCTCACCTAAGGATATTTTTTCCATTGATTTTTTTTTTAAGAGAAAGTGGAAGGGAAGGAAGAAGAGAGAAGGAGGTAGAAAAAGAGAGAGAAACATTGATGGGAGAGACACACACAAACACATTAATTGGCTCCCTCTCATAACTGCCCCAACCAGGGTTAGGGATCAAACCAGATGCATTCCCTTGAGTAGGAATCAAATGGTGACCCTTCAGCTCATGGGCTGACGCTCTAACCATTGAACAACACTGGCCAGGGCAACATATAAATATTTATAATGACCTATTTTATCTAGTTACATAATTTCTCAACCAGTCTCATATCTAACCTATCATTTTTGTGAACAATTTTAAAATAAGCTCACAATTTTAGGTTGCTATAATTTTCACCTCAAATATGCTAAGGGGAAATAAATTAATAAAGAATCTGTTTTTGAAATATTTAGGTTTTAAGTAAAATGATGTTTAAATAATTAGTATGTGCTAACTCAATCATGAGCTAATAATTTATCAAATGCTCTTTTTTAAACTGATGTTTACAAGATGTATGGTTGGTTTCAATATATGTAATAAGGCAAATGCACTTGAGGCATACTAAATAGCATTTTATAAGCAGCTCTACTAGATTAACTAAGTGATGGGTATTATTTATAATATTAGTGACCTTGTGCATGAAATTTGTGATTCCCTCAGCCCAGCCTGCACCCTCTCCAATCGGGGACTGCTGGCTCCTAACCACTCACCTGCCTACCTGCCTGACCACCATGGCTTTCTCCAGAAGGGAGGTCTCTGGAAGGTCTTCTGGTCTAATTGGCATATTATTATTTTATTAGTATAGATATTTCTTCAGTAACATTGGACCCTGAAACTCATTCTACTCTAAGCTACATTCAGACACCATAGTCAACAAGAGTTCCTCACCCTTTGCTCAGACGCATCGGACATCTTTGTCTTGTGTCCATTCTGGGTTCACAGAGGCCTTGTCTGCCCAGGGCTTTACAAGACTGACCTCATTCTCAGCCAAAGGCAACCTGGAAACTCAACTGCCTTAAATGACTAGAGCCTTTGTTTTTTTTTCTGGACATCTCTCTGCTCTATTTGCTATAACGTGCTGGGTAATTACCACTGCATAAACCAAACCAGGGAACTTCAGGATAAACAGAGCTTCGCCTGTTTATCATCTAGTTGCCTCAGGAGAACAGAACAGATAAAGGAGCATTCATTGTGTTTCAGAGTCTCAAGTGTTTGGAAGCATCTCCTGTTTAGTGAAGCTTATGTTGGGAATGCACCTAATGTAAATCAAGTTTCCATGTAGAAATACATTAACCATTTCCTGATTCTATTTGGGCTATAACATGATAAAGGTAGAAGAAACTACCAGGTATTGAGTATTTTCTATGTGCAGGATACTTGTTAAGCACTTTACATTCATGCCCTAATCACTCCTCATGGCAATCCTCCCGAGACATCTGATTATCACCCCAATTTGTAGATGGGCAGTAGTCAGCTTGATGGGCACAAAACGTGTGTAGCCGCACAGAGTCCTGTGCCCAAAGGGTGCCATGCTTGGTTTAATAACCTGCTCTCATCATATCGAAATTGCTAATACTTTTGTCTTTGACTTTGAGTTTTTCAAGGGAAGTTTGATGGAAGGATGGAGCATGCGAGTGAGCAAAGACCGGAACAGTATGCATTTCTTCAGTTCCTCCCATCCACAGAGAGCATTTGAGACACCCCATTAGCCCAGCCAGTCAAAGGGTCCATGATTGCCTGGGAGTTCAGCAACACTCAAAGGTAGAACAAGGTAAGCATATTACACCTATGTCTGAGGAAGGGCCTAGGAGGGGACACTGGCAGCTCTGAGGCCACACTTCCCATTTGGACCAGAACTTGGGTCAAAGCATAATGAAGGCAATAGCCTTGTGAGCAACACAAATGAGTCAAGAATCCAATCGTGTTCTTTCTCGCTCATGTTACTTCTTGTAGTCACCAACTACTTATGCTGGAAATGGTGATGTAGAAGGAGTAGTTAGAGCAATCCTAGTTCCTTTTCTTTAGGTTCTTCCACATTCACAAGCAAGTCGAAGGCAGAGTATTGGTTTTAGGTGCACATATCAAGAAATGAAATAAAAAGTTGAGTTAGTTTTGTACATTTCCACTGTTCTTATAAGAATGAAATATATGTATGAACTACCAACTACAAGTTGTGTAACTTCAGTGATACTGCTTAGGAGTTTAAAATACTTACATTTGCTCTTAAAACTGTAAGTACAATGCTAAGTGTTAAAATTTATGCTGATAATAAACAAATTTAATTTAATGACATTAAGGAGCAAATAAAATAACACCAGGACAAGCTGAGAGGGAAACTCCGGACGAAAGGGGACAACTTTATATGTTAGTAGCTTTAATGACACTCCCCACCCCCTCACTTTTTGAACCAGGAACCCTTTGTTTTTATTTTGCACCTGGCCCTGCAAATTATCTCGCTTTCTTAATCTAGCCCTCAAAATGCCCTTTTACTAAAACTCTGGCATTCACTTCTAGAAATCAAAGCTAAATCCCTATTTTTCTTAAATTGTCCTTACTGTGACAGAGCCTCTTAGAGTTAACCTTTTATTTCCTTCCTTGATACACATTAACCCAACTATGCCTTAGTGGTTTTTAAGAAGACTTGAAGTACTAGAAAAATAACATGCATGATCCAAGACATACAAGCAATTTAAAAGTAATTTTTGTTATGATCCCAGTCATTTTGCATAAAGCAAAGGCAGTTACAGCCAATTACAAATTGGAACAGATGTTGGAATCTGGGTGCACATGTGGCCTTCTATGCTCATTAAAAACTTTCAGTGTTCATGGATTTCAGCAGTGTTTGCATTTGATTGGTAACACAGATTCGGAAAAATAAAACAAGTGAAAAAGAATTTTATTTCTATTCTGAGCTATGAAGTTCTTTGTGGGTTTGTAACAACCTGGAAATTCACACAACAGTAGCCTGATCAGAAATTCTGGTAAAACATGCCAAAATACATGACTTTTTTCGTTTAAAGCATGTGTTAACTAAAATGTCAATTTAAGAAAATTGTGTGGAATGCAATTACCTTAACAAATGTTCCTTTTCTAATAGTTAAGCCTATATACATGGTTGTAGGCTATTTATATCTAATTTGCTTAATATTTAAATGCCCTATGGTAGACCATAGAGACAGTTTACAATTTGGGGAAAACTACTATTGAAATCCTTTATAAGGTACTAGAGTTTTGTTGTTTTTTGTTTGTTTGTTTGTTTGTTTTTAATATATTTTTTATTGATTTTTTACAACCAACCAGCTGCCTCTTACACACCCCCCACCAGGGATGTGCCCACAACCAACTTACATGTCCCTGACTGGAATTAAACTTGGGACCTTTTAGTCCACAGACCAACGCTCTACCACTGAGCCAGACCAGTTTTGGCAGGTACTAGAGTTTTTGACAATACAAATAATCCTCTCAGAATAGCTGTGTTTGACAAATTCCAATTCTCTCATGTTTTGATAGAGGACATCTGCCTTGAAAGCTACCTGCTTTAGAATGCTGTCACAGTGCTGTTTGGTTCTGCCACATACATTTCCACACAATAACCATAAAACAAACCAGATGATCCTAAAGGGGCAGGAAAAACAAACAAACAAAAAACAACACGCCAATTTATTTACCCTGACATCTTTTTTCACAGTTTGGTTTCATGTCAAACTAAATTTCTGGGCATAAGAGTGTAGACTCCAGAGCCTGAATAATCTTGCTCTGCTACCTCCCAGTACAAGGTGGACTCTCTTGGTGCACCTCTTTGTGGGCTGTGTGCACAGTCTTGTTGTAGTTAAGCCTTGATTGCTGTTGGTATCACTCGGAGGAATTGACCTCCAGGCCAATTGGCTGTGAGGATCAGTTGCGTCTACAATTGGAGAACTTCTGTTCTGGAGACACCCTTATGGGGCAAGACTTCTTCAGTGGGGCTTTGGTGCTCACTGAGTCTGCCCCCTGAGTGTGTCTCTTATGGATGTGAAGAGTTGTAATCTGGATTGTCTCACCCTGACCACTGGGTTCACTGGCTCTTGGATCTTCAAGGATGTGCAAAGTTAGGCACTGCCTGAGGCTACCCAGCAGATCTACAGAGAGATCTGCAGATTCCTCCTCTTTGTTTGGGGTTTGGAGGTTCTCAGATGAGGCCCAGCTGTGAAGCAATGCAAGCTGCTGTGGGGCCTTGGGCCTTCTTTTGGAGGCTCTGGACTCTCTGATCCAGCTACAATTTGTTAGGTATTAGATTGCAAAAGCCAGGCCATTCATATGCAAATGCCTCTGCACACAGCTTGGGTGGGATTATAAATTGGTTAGGGTTGAGGTCTCAGGGAATCACTGGGGTGGAGCAAACAGCAATGTCTGACCATCAGCCCTATCCTCAGAGGCCCTTGGGTCTCAGTGTCCCACAGTAATCGCTGCAAACACCTCTGAGAGAAAGCTGTCTTCATGTTCCGGCCCA